CCTGCCGGCCGGTCCTTAACCACCCTCACTCCCCGGGTTCTCCAGCGGAGGCGGGAGGTTAGCTTCTGGGTGGAGACGCGGGCGAGGCAGAGGCTCGCATCTGGGGAAGCGGGCGAGGAGCGAAGGCTCTGGAAGGAACCCGACGGGAAGGCTCCTCTCCGCCCAGGGGGCCCCCCCTTCAGCGCTTGGCACTTCTAAATTTTTTCTCCCCTCCAAAGGCTCGGTTACCTACCCTCACGGGATGAAGAGGCCTTTGACTTTTTTCTGCTCCGCCCCCCCCCATTGTCTTATTTCCATTCACTTTACTGCTCTCCAGGGCCCACCTCCCGGGCAGGTGGTGGGACCTCCCAGCACCGGTGTCTAGGTGGCCAGAAGCTGCTTGTCACGGGACACGAAGCGCCCGCGCGCGGGAGGTCTTAGCTGCGGGACACCTGGAAGGGTGCGGGTTCCAGCTTCCCCGCAGCAGGTGCTGGGGCGGTGGGTGCAGGGCGCAGGCCTAGCGCGGGAATGTCTAGAAGATAGGACCACGTCGCACAGCTGGGGTCGGGGTGGGGCAGGGCTTCCGAGGGCCTCCCCTGAGTGCCCCTGAGAACTGGGGTAGAGTCCCGGGTCCCAGCGGGCTCGGCCGCGAGGGGCGGAGGCCGTCAAGGCAGAGGGTGAGGGGGCGTCGCCCTGCGGAGGGAGCCAGTCTGCTGGCGTTAGATCCCGATGCTCCAGTCGGGCACCTTCCAGCCGACCTGGAGCCTACACACTCCCTCACTCCGGTGTGTTTATTTTGCAAGTAAAACCCAAGCAGGCTCCTGCTGAATTTTTGCTCAGGTACCCAGAGCTCAAATTTGACGGCACGTCTCGTGTTGGTCCCCCCCCCCGCCCCCTCTTGTCGTAGTTGGCGAAATGCCAGGTTCTTACTAACTGGGTGGGTAGGACTCAGATTCAAGGACGGAGCTCGCCCAAGACGTTCAAGGGGTCGGGGCGTTTCCTGGGGAAGGCAGAGCTGAGGCAGAGGGAGGGACCCCGAGGGGAAGGTCCCGGGGAGACCCTGGCCCCAGCACACGCGCCTCATTTCCCAGCCCCCTCCTGCTGGGGGAGGTGGGCAGAGAGAGAGGCGCCCTGCGAGAGTCCGAGGTCCAGAGTGGGCGTGACCCGGCGGCGCAGGGAAGCGTGTCCTGGCCCCAGGTTCGGGCTGGCCTCCAGGCGCGCCCTGGCCAGGACTTCTCCACGGTCCAGTGAGAGGGAGACCTTTCTGCCTGGACCGCGAGCCTCCTTTCTGCTGCTCCAACCAGGGCCCGGCGCGTGCTCCGGGTTTCTCAGCTCCTTCCCCGCAGTCTCGGGTCCCAGCCGGCCCCAGAGGCCCCTGATTGAAGGTCCCCACCCCCAGGGGGACCGGTAGCAACAGTGGGCCGGTAGAGTCGATATTTTGGGGGGCATGCCGGAGGCGCCCACGCCCCTGGAGGCTCCCCCCAGGCTGTCCGCCCTGGGAGCCAGTTTCCCAGCAGACAGGGGGCTGGAGGCCCCTAGGCGCGGAGGCCCGGGGCCTGTTCTGGGACGCGAGCCCGAGCCCACCGTCTGGGGGCCGGGGTCTTGGGGCAATTCCGTTTCTCCGAGCCTCAGAGTCGGCACCAGGAGCCGCTCACCTCCCGGGCGCGGCCTGCTCCCCACATCGGTGTGAGAGGCGACGGGGAGACTGAGAGCTCTGTCCGCTCTAAATGTTCGGGAATTCGGGGAATAAACGTTCGGGGCCGCCTGGCTCCTGCCGGCCCGCCCGCGGGCCACCGCGGGAACGCGGGGAGTGTCCGGTGCGAGCCGCTGAGATGCGTTTCTCGGCGGGAAAAGTCACCGCCGGCTTTTTAGGAAACAGTAGCGCCAGCGGCCGCGCCTGCAGCGCGCTGAACCGCATCCTCTCCGCAGCAGCCCCGCCCGCGTCCCGGCCAACTCCCTCCTCCCCTCTCCTCTCCTTTATGGGGGGGG